GTGGCATGGCCTTTGGGCATTTGTTAGCAGCCCTGAAAGTACTTTGTAACAAGTCCTGATGAATCCTGTATGCTGCGCATTTCTTACTTGCATTGTAACCTGCTAACTTCCTTAATAAACCTTTCATCATAAATGTTGTCTGTGAGTTCTGTGTAGCCATTGCAATGGATTATATAATGAAAAGTAGAGAACATTGTGTGATAGAACATACTAGCATCTTTTTTAAAAATCATTTTATTAGGGGCTCATACAACTCTTGTCACAATCCATACATACATCAATTGTGTAAAGCACATTTGTACATTCATTGCCCTCATCATTCTCAAAACATTTGCTCTCCACTTAAGACCCTGGCATCAGGTCCTCATTTTCCCCCTCCCTCCCCGCTCTCCCCTTCCTCATGAACTCTTGATAATTTATAAATCATTATTTTGGCATATCTCACACTGTCCAATGTGGCCCTTTACCCACTTTTCTGTAGTCCATCACTCAGGGAGGAGGTTATATGTAGATCCTAGTAATCGGTTCTCCCTTTCCACCCCACTCTCCCTCCACCTTCCCGGTATCGCCATTCTCACCAATGGTCCTGAAGGGATCATCTGTTCTGGATTCCCTGTGTTTCCAGTTCCTATGTGTACCTATCTGGTCTAGCCAGATTTGTAGAATTGGGATCGTGATAGTGGGGGATTGGGGGGGGGGGGGCATTTAGGAACTAGAGGAAAGTGGTATGTCTCATCATTGCTACACTGCACCCTGACTGACTGGTTCGTCTACTCCCAGTGACCCTTCCGTAGCGGGATGTCCAATTGCCTACAAATGGCTTTGGCTCTCCACTCCACACTCCCCCCACTCATTCACAATGACATGGTTTTTTGTTCTGATGATGCCTGATACCTGATCCCTTCAACACCTCGTGGTCACACAGGCTGGTTTGCTTCTTCCATTCGGGCTTTGCTGTTTCTGAGCTAGATGGATGCTTGTTTACCTTCAAGCCTTTAAAACCTCAGACACTATATCTTTTGAAAGCTGGGCACCATCAGCTTTCTTCACCACATTTGCTTATGTACCCATTTGTCTTCAATGATCGTATTGGGGAGGTGAGCACACAATGTTATGATTTTTTTGTTATTTGATACTTGATAACTGATCCCTTCAGAACCTTGTGATCATGCAGGCTGGTATGCTTCTTCCATGTGGGCTTTGTTGTTTCTGAGCTAGATGGCCGCTTTGTCTTCAGCGATTGTGTCAGGAAGGTGAGCATCATTGAATGCTAGTTTAAAAGAGCAAAGTATTCTTGCATTGAGGGAGTACTTAAATGGAGGCCCAATGCCCATCTGCTACCTTAATACTAAACCTATAAATATATGCTCATAGATCTATTTCCACATCCTCGTATATAAGTATATTTACATATGTACATGCCTTTATTTGGACCTCTATATATGCCCTTTGCCTCCTAGCTCTTTCTTCTGTTTCCTTTTACTTTCCTCTTGTCCCACTATCATGCTCAGTCTTCATTTGGGTTTTAGTAATTCCTCTCGGTTACATTACTCTTGATCACACCCTACCAGGCCTCCTACACCCTCATCACCACTGATTCGGATCACTTGTTGTTCCCTTGTCCCTGGGTTTATTAACACCACATCCTTTCCCTCCACCTCTCCCTCTTCCATGTCCCCCCGAACTGTCGGTTTTGTTGTTTTCTCCTCCAGATTGTTCATCCAGCCTATCTTATTTAGACAGACCTGTGGAGATAATAACACGCACAAAAACAAGACAGAGCAAAACCAAGCAACAAAAACAACAAGCCAATGACTAAAAAACCCAAACAAAATACAACAACAAGAATGAAAAGCTTGTAGTTAGTTCAAGGACTGTTGTTGACCTTTAGGAGTGTTTTCTGGTTGAGTCTGATGGGGCGCCAAGCCCTGGCCCCAAAGTCCATTTTTGGTATTCCCTGGGGACTTTGTTGCTCTGTTCCCCTTGCTGTTCTGTTGCACATCCTTAGTGTTTTACCTCAGTGTGGTGGGATCAGATTGGGCGGAATTCCCACACTGTGTCTCCAGTGTTGCCCCCTGTAGGGCTATGGGTCAGTGAGGGATGTCGTGTCTCATAGTGGGGCATAGTAGCATCTTAAGAGTTATTTCTGCCAAGGAGAGCCCTTTATTTCTCGCTATTGGTCACACTGTGCTTGTTTTGTACCACTTTTCCTTGGTTTAAAAAGTAATCAGCTTACTCATTTATTAAATACAGAAACCAGGGAGCCATCGTGATTATTCTCTCCCTTGGCAATCCTCCAGTTCATTTCGAATCAAACCCGGTTCCGCTTTGTGACCTCCCTGCTCTGGACTCAGTCTCCCTCTCCATCCTCATCTCATGTAATTCTGTCTTTGGTTTTTCTGCTCTAGTAAAACTTTGACTTCTCTTCGCCCTCAGGGCAGGGTAATCGCTGTCCTTTGTCTCTGTATTTGTAACTCCCTTCCTGGAATTTTCTTCCCTAGCTCCTCACCTGGGAAGCCTTCCTTTCCTGAAGATCCAGCTAGAGTTGCATCTCCTTAGAGAGCCCTTTCCATTCCAATGACAGCTTCCTCAGGCTTATTTCTATCCCAGCACTAACGCACGATTTGGGGTTGCTTTTCCTTATTTAGTTACTTGATTTATAAATGCTTCTGTGAGAATAGGAAATGTATCTCTGCCTAGAGATACTCAAACATAATGAAATGAAAAAAAATGTAGGAAAGAATAAATGGTCCTACTCTGTTTTTTATGTAAAGCCATTGTCACCAAATTGGCTCAATTCATAGTAACCTTATAGGACAGAGTAGAACTGAACCCTAAGATCTCCAAGGCTCTAAGGCAGTGGTTCTCAACCTGTGGGTCGTGACCCCTTTGGGGGTCGAAGGACCCTTTCACAGGGGTCGTCTGATTCAAAACTGTAGCAAAATGACAGTGATGAAGTAACAACGAAAATAATTTTATGGTTGGGGGTTACTACAACATGAGGAACTGCATGAAAGGGTCACGGCATGAGGAAGGTTGAGAACCACTGCTCTAAAGCTTTATGGAAGCAAATTACCTCATCTTCCTTTCATGGAGCGGCTGGTGGATTCAAACCGCTGCCTTTTCTGTTAGCAGTCAAGCACCTAACTACTGTGTCTTCAGTCGGTAGGGAATTAGAGTGTTCCCCTCTCATGACACCTGTACAATTGTTACAGCTTTCTAGACTTGCTAAAGAATACCTCATTTATTCATTTATTCAACATTTAATGAGCGCATTCTTGGCACTAGTCTTATAGTAGTGACAGAATTGTCACGTCTTGTCCGTTGGTGGAATTTTGTGTCTAACTTTCAAAGAGAAAGTGAGTTCCCTTTCAGTAAAAACGTCGCAGCAGAAAGCGTGCCATTTGGGAGACAGTCCAATCTCATAGTTAAGGAGAACTTGGGTTCTGGAGCTACACGCAAGAGCCCAGGGGGTTCAAATTCTACTTCTAATATTTTATCAACTGCGAGACTTGGGCAAGTTTTAAATGTCTCTGTATCTCAGTATTCTCATGTATATACTAGAGATAATACTAGTACTCCCTCATAAGACTGTTAAGAGAATTAATGAGTCAATACATGAAAATGAATAGTGCTTGGTATACAGTGTTAGAAGAAAAATCACATTAAGCCAATAATAAAAATAAGTTGGACCATTTACATATAATTTGTCAACTGGGGTAGCAATTCGACTAGAGAATTTAAAAAATGTTCAAACACTAGAAAAGCCCCACAGAGTTTATACTTAATCTCACAGTATTGCCGTGATAAAAGGGTCAGAACAGACACTTTGTGGTAAGCACGGGCTTCATATAGCTTTGTCTTGAAGAATCATGAAAATAATTACTGATTTATCCTGAAACATAGTTGTAGTCGGACTTCTGGAGTCCTGTTTTCTACAACTGACAGGATTCCTCAAAAAAGCACAATGCCCAAGGCAAGATAGTCTTACTTTTTCTAGATCCTAGACAAGAGTCAGCAGACAGAAGAGCCAATCCTGTCCCTCACAAATTTGAAAATTATTTGAGAGCCAAAAATATATTTTTACAAACCAATGAAATCACCGGAATTATCTGAATAGAAAGCACTATTATCTGAATAGTACCCTTTAAAAACAAAAACCAGTTTTACTTCAGAGCCACATGTATATACCAAAAGAGCTGAATATGGCTTGCAAGCTGAAGTTTGCCAACCCCAGGTCTAGACCATAGAACAAACCCATTTGGCCTACCACCCCATTTTCAGGAGAGAAAAAAAAAAATCATCCCATTGGCAACGAAAAACGTTTGTACTGTTGGTATCTG